CCTATATTATCCACTGCAAAAGGTACCTTAAGATCGAGAAGGAGGAGAATATTCCCAATGAGGAAGGATCAAAAGCTCTGTCCACAGGGATCATGTAGCAACGCTTCTTACAGACGGTTCTGAATCCGAATAACCTTAATTCATTCGAGAGAAAAAACTCATTGTTAAACAACACATTATGTCAATGTACACACCACCACCACAACAAACAGAAGTATTACAATAGAAGATTAAACAAGGACAAAAATAATAATAAGGTCAAAAATCAACATGCGAATGTCAAATTAATGATGCACAAAGTAGAAAGAAAACGTACAGTAAATTACAAAGTCAGCTGAAACGTCTAAATAGTTATAAATATTTTAAGTAGATCATTGAGAAGATATTTCCCAAACATTTTGTGCATTACATATTCTTATATATATATATATATATATATATATATACGGTTTCCTTTTTTTCGCAAAAGTTAACCAAACTGCTATAGAAATTTCAACGCATAAACATATTAGAAATACTAAAAATATTTATATCGATGTGAAGATCCATGGCATCTAACACAAAGAACGATATCCGAATTTCTCACAACAACATCAAGTCATTCAAGTGGTTCAGACAAATGATCTGTATGCCACCTCTAGCATTTTTCAACTTTCATCATCAACCACTATCCCCCTTGATTATATGTTGGAGATTAAACAGCTGGTCAGAAAAGATAAGCAACTGAAAACTCTGCCAGTGTAACTAACCAACGAAGAACATATTGCCTAAAATGGATTAGATGTACACTAAAGGGGGCATTCAAGTGATGTCATACACACCAGTCTGTTGTGTGTTCAAGTTGGAGGGGAAGGAACGAATTGGATGTCTAGTGGGTGACATGAAGAAGCTGATGTGAAGAAGCAATGTAAGCTTGTGGGCAGTGATAAATTCAGTTGAATGCGATTTTACAGAAATGAGTGGAAGGAATATGTGCCTCTCGGGTCCTATGTTCTAGCTGGAACATAAAGAACAACTCAACAATCAGAATAATTCAGCCGCCAATAAACTCTAATTAATTTATCATTTATAAATATAGGCTTAACTCTTTATTAGAGGAAATGCTTGTTTGTTGGGTAAAATATTCAGCACTAAGACTAAGCGTATGTGTATGTGAGTCTCTGGGTGAATAGTAAAATATACAGGAGGTCAGGATTCAACTCTTGGATAACAGACTCAGTCGCAACTCCTGCCTAGCAAGTAATAAAACCTGAAGAAGAAGGAAGGTTGGACGCGTGGCTAGCAACACCATTGAAAGTCTATATTCTACTTGAAGCACAAGGAATTAAATAACATACTGACATAAACAAAAAGGGTAAAGCAAACTACATAAAAATAAAACAACTTCTTTGTTTGTCTGTTTGTTTGTTTTTTGTTTATTTGTTTTTCTCTTTGTTTCTATAAAGTACATACAGAGGGAGAAAATGCTGTTCAGTTTATGCGCTGTTGTGAAATTCGACTAATTGATTTTAATCCACTTTTGTGTACAAGATAATCGGCATAATTTCCCAGTGTGTTGTGTTAATTTTTCATAGCATGTTAAGAAAAATGGCACCAACAGTTGTAATCAATATTATGCGCAGATATTGACCACTTACTTACACTACTTATGATCTACACTTCCTAATTAATTATCGCAGTAGGTTAATTGTGGGGGAAAAAATACACATTCCTGCTAAGACTATTAGGAAGAAGTATTCACATAGAAAAACTGATGGTCAATACATAACACAGCTGGAAATATATTTACTTTTTATTACTCCCTTGGGTTCCCAGTGAAATATAAGACTTCTCCGGCACATAAACATTTCAACTGTTAGTTTAAAGGGATTTGATAGGATTCAGGATTTTATCATGAACTGAGATCGGCTGGAGGACCATTGGGAAAGCCAGGGATACTGGACAACTGTTTCATCCCAGTTTGGGACTCTGCAGCAGTACGCACCCAATGAGGTTCCAGTCTAGAACCTCATTGGGTGCGTACTGCTGCGGAGTCCCAAACCTGGCTGACGAAATAGTTGTCCAGTACCCCTGGCTTTTCCAATGGTCCTCTAACCGATGTCAGTTCATGATGAAATCCTGAATCCTATCAAATTCCCTACAAACCAACATATGAATATCAATCTGATGCTTATTAATGACTGACCCTATTATGATACATAAACATCTCATCCTGTTCTCTGTAGTTCTCTTCATCTGGGTCCACGATTGCCCATAAGCTTTCATCTTCTCCTCTCAAGATCTCTATTTCACCCTCCAACCCATCCCAACTCATTTCCCATTCGGGTTCCACTCTACATATTGTCTGGCACGCGATGTCAATTAACAGTCTTCACAGCATGTGTCCAGTCCATCCCTATTTCCTTCAGCATAGTTATTTGGTTCGTCCCTAGAGTTACTTGTTGCTAAGTCCTTCTGGCCATCTGATCTTCAGTGTAGGGCTAGAGAAAGCAACTATCGATAAAAGTCTGAAGCTTGTTCAATGCTGTCTGATAACATTCCAAGTCTGTAAACATACAGAATCACTGACATGACATTTGTTTCAAAAATATACATCTCATTCTTTGTGCTGATTACAGTAGATTTCCACACTGATTTCAGAGAAATAAAGGTTTGTCATGCCTTTTCGATCCTGATTGGCTTTTAAATCCTCATCCGTGCTTTCCGCTTGTAGTTGGAACTATTTTGCTCAAACCTCGTTCAAATTTCTTCCTTTCATGGTGATTGATGTTTGTTATTATTGGTTGGTTGTCTTCATTTCATCTGTTTTCTCTATTTCCACTTAAGGTCCTGTCTCCGCTGCTTCTTCTGACGACGCGTTAGCTTTCGTCTTTAAGCCTTTGGGTTTGTGTAATATTGGACACAAATCATCTGTGAAGTCGAGATCTTCTAGAGTCTTCCTATCGTTTCAGTGTATTTCTGTTTGATTGCTCCTTATAGTTCTCAGCATAATCCAGCTCACTACAGTCAGGCAAATCATGAGGGGTAATAGGTAATCTTGACTTATTCCTGTATTCACTTCAAAGGTATTGTTGAAGTTTCGGATATAAAATTACAGTGTAAATTTTAATTGATACATTCCTCGATTAGATGTTCAACCAATTTATCATATTCTGCACTGATCTGTTTTGACTAAACATTCTCTTGTTGAGGAATGCAAATTTAGTTCTAACCTAAAGAAGAAAATTTCCATATGTTGTCTGGTAGAGGTCTGATTAATTTGAAGGTAGGCTTCATCAACAACCTACATTATTCAAGGAATTATTAAAAGCCAGAAAACACTGGACAATTTTTATTAAATTTTCTTGATACTCTAAAGTAGAAAACAACGATGGGATTTCAGGGATCAAACCTATGACCTATACGATAAAGGGGAATTAGTGGACAATTATAATCCATTGACCAATGAATTCTGACTTCTGTCCATTTCAAGTGTTGGTTTGTAGGGATTTGATTGGTTTCGGGATTTCATCATGAACTGACATTAGTTAGAATTCAAGGACCATTAGATAGGGTCCCAGTAGCTTAATGGCATACGAGCTCGCCTTGTAACCGGAAGGTCCTGGGTTCGAATCCCGGTGGGTGCGTATTGCTGAAGAGTCCCAAACTAGGACGAAACAGTTGTCCAGTACTCCCAGGTTTTCCAATGGTTCTCCAACTAATGTCAGCTTATGATGAAATCCCGAAACCATTCTGTCCATTTTTTTATAAACAAGACTTGACCTACAATTCTAAAATCTTTACAACAGTTCACTTATTCAGTAATCTTTAAAAGTTTTGTAATTCATTTACTTCAAATCAACCCCCTTAGTAAATCATTTTAATTATCTTTATTCTTATCATATATATATATATATTGACTGAGCAGTTTCTAGTGCCACTTAATGCATTTCTCCATAATATAAATACGACTGTACAGCTTGAAAAGGAAGTCGTTGGAAAGAGATATATCTTTACTGAACAAAAAACTGTTTTTCCTTATGAATAAATGGGTACATTTTGTGATTTGTGTTTCAGCCTATTATTTACAGGATTTCATCAGCAGCCGACATCAGTTAGAGAACCATTGAAAAACCTGCCAGGGAGTACTGAACAGCTAACTGTTTTGTCACTCTAGTTTGTGGCTAATCAGCAATATGTACCCACTGCGGTTCGAACCAAAGACATTCTAGTTACAAAGTTAGCGAGCTTGTATACCATTAAGCCACTAGGACCGATCCAATCGCCAACCCATGAATTCTAACTTCTACCAATTCACGATATGGCACAAACACTAGCCAATGTCTTCGACGAGTATTTGTCCTCACACCCAACCGGCTGCACCCTAATGGTCACGACTTCCCACTAGAACTAGTAGGGTGCAGCACGTTGGGTGGGAGGACAGATAGTCACCGAAGATATTGGCTAGCGGTCGGGCTATGTCGTGAATTGGCAGAAGTTAGAATTCATGGGCTGGCCGTTGGATCGGGTCCCAGTGGCCTAATGGTCTACAAGCTCGCTAGCTTTGTAATCAGAATGTCCTTGGTTCGAATCCCAGTGGGTGCGTACTGCTAAAGAGTCCCAAACTAGGCTGACTAAACAGCTGTTCAGTACACTCAGATGGTTTTTTAATGGTCCTCAAACCCATATCAGTTCATTATGAAATCCTGTAACCAGTAAATAGAATAATCCACTAAGAGTTTTATACCTACAAGTTGAAACAGTTATGTCCAATTACGTCACATAATACCGTACGGAATTACAGATAAGGAAAACTATTTCTAAGTCTACTGAGTGGATATTACAGAATCATTGTTTGACACAAGTAGGTATATGCACAATCATGAAGCCGTTACAACAGCATAGAGTACAATTTTTTTATTATTGTTGTCAGTTGAGTGCACAATTTTTACATTTTTTTTGATTTCACACTGTCTAAATTTCTTTTATGTAACTAACTACATTGTTGTTTATTGTTGTAGAAAACTACACTTGAAAATGCAATGGCTGATGCTTTATTGAATGATCGATTAGAATTTGTTCAATTATTACTTACTAAAGGACTGAGAATTCAAAGATTTTTAACACGTGAACGTTTGGAAGAATTGTACAATGTGGCTGGTGATGCAAATAATCAGTCATTTCATAAATTATTCACAAAACTTCTAGGTAATAAACAGGTATGTTCGGGGTGAAATTTCGTCACGTGTTTTTATTTTAAAAACTAAAAATATATTCAGATCACAGTGCATATATATGTATATGATGTGTTTGCTATGATGACTGACAAGCAATATAATAGCCTTGTGTATGCTACTGATTGATATATGAGTATTTGAAGATCACTCACCCATCCAAGTGGTAATTTGTGCGTCGGTGGTACAGTGGTGAAATGCTCGCCAACCACGTCTCATGTGGTCCGGGGTTCGATCCCTGGCCACTGACGCATTCATTTACCTAGCTAAGCTAGTAATAATAAGACTGGTAAAGAGGGAAGGTGGGCATGAGGCTACCAACCCCATCTCGTAAAAATAAATACTATGGCTACTTAGAATTCAAGCCTCTAGCTTGAAGCTAGTCTATGTTCCACTGAGCACGCAAAAGGAATAAACATAAAATGGTTTAAAAGTTAATCTGAACGAAGAATATTCTTTTCAATAATTTCTCTTCAGTTTCTTTATAAAATATGATAATATTTGTTGTCGTTACAATAAAGGCCAAATATGCGGCGGATACATTTTTAAGGTAGAATAATAGATTAGTTATGGGGTGTCAAAATAAATAGTCTTATTTGAGTGTGACAAACGTGCTCTGGTCTGAATCGATTAGAAAATATTGTAAAACTGGAGACAGCGGTGGTGATTAATCATAATAGAATTGTAGAGTGTGGGGTAGGAAAATTGACAAATCAGTTCAAGATTATAAAAGGTGTCAGGTGAGTGGCTAGTACAAAGTGGTATGTAGAGGAGGAGAGAGTAAGACTGCAATGAGATGTTCATAATGCGATAACGAATATGTGAAATGAAACAGATGGAGGCATATATTGAGAAAACAGATAATACCACTAATAATAAGTCCGTATAAATGAAAAATTCGACACTATTGAGGGAATGTTTGCATAAAGGGCATAAATTATGACGAATAATAATAATAACTGTATTAATAGTATTTGTAATAATAAGCAAAGTAGAAAAGAAAAAAAACCAAGAGGGTTAAGGGGAAGTAGCACTCTTGGTGAGAAGAAAAATCTTCAATCCAAGGTTGGCCATGGTAGGAACAGCGTCTGGACGTGTTCCTTTTGGATACAGAGTTCCGGTTTAGTCGATCTTATTGCAACAGCTTCAGCTATGTGTAGGAGACGTAAGCGAACTGTACGTGATAACGACTTCGGAATTCGGTATATAACCCTGAAAGCTGTGTTGACATCGATGCGATGTCCAGTATCGACCAAGTGTGACAGGATCGAGCTTTTTATGCACTTAATTTTCCCCCTGAACCAGGCTGGTAAGTGTTCTCGAACCCTTAGATGAACCTGCCTAATCCTGCGTCCTATATAACTTGAGCCACAGGAACAGTTGAAATGGTATATGCATGAAGAAGAGCTAAGGTTAGGTAAGACATCTTTGAGTTGCTGGGTGAACATTGGACGGCTAGTGAAGGATAGACACAGACGTGTAGAGTAGAAAGTTTTCTTTATCGCCCTGGTTACACGTTGGGATAGAATCTCCGCAGGAGTATCTCCCTTAAATTGGAGACGTAAAAACAAAGGCTTTTTCTCCACAGTTGCCAGTTCATGTTTACGACTTTTTAACCTATGTTGGCTTTAATGAACTTCTCTGGATATCCATTCTCGCTCAGATTGTCTTGGATGACCTGGAGTTCTTTCTCTACGCATAAAATGGTGATTTGAACCAAGTACATAGGTGATGAGATCCTCCCTTAATACAGTAACTTTTGATGTCATTCAACTAACTAAAAGTAATGTAAACTACTGGCCATTTTCATTGAAATAAGAATACCGATTATAGATTTTGTTAAAGGTTTTGTTGAACCAATTAGTTCATGTATCATAATCTCTGTAAACAAACAAAGTCGGAGATCTTATCAGTTTATAACCCATCCCCCGTAGGACTGATTGATGCAAATAGATGATTATTGTTCAGACGATAAACAATATAACTTTCTGATCCTAGGTGTCGTGATCGAAATGAATCTATTCAGTAGCTATGTGTGTATGTGTAGTGGATCCCACAAAACTTTACTGCGCAATGACATTTTAATGTAATATTTAATTACTCAATAGTCTAGTGTGTCTACCGAATATGTCGTGTAACCAATTAGCTAGAAGAAAATCTCCAAATGGCATTTATGAATAGTTTCAGGCAGTCGAATAAGTAATAGATAAAGGAACCTGTACCTGCATTTCTTGATTACCGGTATTTATCAGTATTCCATTGAGCATGCTGTCAAATGACACCCATAAAATGTACTACTGAATGTTGTAGTTCTGTTTCTCGAGGAGTTAATTCTCACTTGAAGATTGCAGATAGGTTCTGCCTACAAAAGAAACATTCACTTATTCTCATCAACTTCTTCATCATTCATCTAATGCTTTGCATCATCATCATTCATCATTGAATTGAATTTTTGATTTTCCCGTTGATTGATTGGACCGAAGTGCTCAGTCTCAGGTTGACATGTCGGCTTCTTGTGCAGATGCTTCGACGATGTCTGGGGATTTGATTTGTATACAATTGGTGGATGGTGGCTAGCAGTAGAATCCAGGATGCGCACTTCGTCCTATTTGGATAACGCTTTGGCGTTTGAAACTATGGGCACTGGGTTCGAGCCTCGGTGGGAACATCATCACTCACTGAGAAATGCACGTTCATCCAGATGACGAGTCCCAAATAGGACGAAATGCGCATCCTGGATTCCACTGCTAGCCACCATCCACCAATTGTATACAAATCATTCATCATTGTTTTATTTTATTCTTTTGTGTTCTGAATGAAACATAGATATTAAAGCTTCAGCTTAAGCTCGTTATCTTCTCATTTCCTGTATGCAGCTTAAAACAAATTAATTAACTTTATTTTTTCAAAGGAATTATAACATACTTGCAAAGGCGTAACATAATGTCAGTTAACGTTGGTTAGAAGTCACACTTATACAAATAAAAAGTAAAACTTGACCACTGTAATAGAGTATAACTATGCCATTATGGATAAAATTTTATTTTGCTAAAATCAGACAATGTAGTGTTAAACGGTAATATTCACTGATGCGACCACGTTTCGAGTACAATTTATCGCTGGTCATAATCATATCAAGACACTGCTCACTCAACTTTCTTGCTTCATTTATATACATGAGTAAAAATTGATGATCAGACATTTTCAAAACAATGGATGCTGAACAAAGAATAATCTTTTAGATACCTTCATCATCAGGTTCTACGGTTATATATACATTATAGTGAGTGAATGAATGAATGAATTAGTGTTGTGAACAACATTAATGTTAAAATAATATCGGATCAATAATATCGATAGGTTACAGTTCAATAGCATCAACATAAAATAAGCTGAATGTAAGAAAAATTAAGAAAGATAATATTACAAATTCATGAATTTATAGTTCCTACTGAAGGCCAGGGCAGTAGTAGGGGCTGAACTTGCTTCTTTTGCACACACCAATTGCAATAGCCTGCTGTTTGAAGCATGCGGTGCTTCGATGTTTTTGACAATTTATTAGGCACCCAGTAGATGATAGAGCAGGATTCTTCAAAGCTGGCTTTGTGACCGGTTTGGACCAGATGGTCTGATATCTAACTATTGATGGTTCCCACTACACCTTTGCTTAATCATACTGGGAGGTGTTCTCGAGCACGAAAAATCAAGTTCCTAGAGCGACGGCCGAAATATGAATAAAATCAATATAAGATAAAGCACATTCGGAAATAATATTAGTGTTATCAATAAAATACAATAAAATAGGGAAATAAGATGTTTTTATAGTAAAATAAATAAATAACTTGTTAGAAGGTTATAAAGTATGTGAACTGAAATAGAATTTTAAGATTATTTACTATCCAACTCTGATTTGATTTGCGATAATAATATCTTCCATATCTCTGGTATTTGCGTTGAGTGATTTCTACTGCATGTGTTGGGTGTAGACTCGATGAACCAGAATTCAGTAATCGATCTCTCTCGCTCTCCACCTACCTGCATAACTTTTTAGAATTTCAACTCTCTCTATCTGCCCTAATGTGTGGTTGTGTGTTAATGCATGCAGTGCTATAGCTGAGTTTTTTTCTAAATTACTTATCTTCTCGGATCAGTCATTTTAACCTTCGTGAAATTCTTATGTTCTAATAATCTCACTAATATCATTTCCGAATGTACTTTACCTTATATTGTTTTATTCAGTTGTCTAATCATCAGTTTTTTTTACTCATGTGTATAAATGAAGCAAGAAAGTTATGCGATTACCGCCTTTATATGATAATGTTCTCGAAATGTGGTCATCAGTAAATATTACTGTATAACAAACATTACATTGTGTAATTTCATCAAATAAAATTTGATTCATAATGGAGTCACGCTCATGAAGCCTACACACAGTAGTTTCAAGTTTAAACAAAAATTAAGTGAAGTAAAAAAAAACACATGACAAATATTTAAATACAAAGGGAAGGAAGAGAGTTACGTAATAAATAATAATAATAACAGCTTTATTCCAAACAGTATGGAATTTTCAGCGTGCATTACAATATACTGCATCTAATTACCTAATAAATTATATAAGATTTTTAAAATCAAAAGATACATAAATAAATAAAAATAAAATAAAAAACAGCGTAAGATTTTTAAAATAAAAAAAATAAATGAATAAATAAAAAAACCAACGCCAGAAAAAATAAAAGATAAATAAAAAAAACAGCGTAGTGTTTGCATTTCAAACAATGCACCACAGGATATGAAATATAAAGTTGATGTGTGATAGAAGATCAGAACAACAGTGTAATAGTGACGAAGACAGGAAAACAAAAACTAATGGGACTAAAGACAAAAGTTGAATAAACAGATGATAAGTAAATAATAAGTTGTCCAATAATCTGGTGATTTCAACTCAACTTATAGATTTCCAAGTATGAGTGTATAGGGAGTTGATTGATTATCGAGACTGATCACGAACTGATATCAATTACAGAATCAGGGAAAATCAGTGAGTACTCGACAGTTGTTTCGTCCCACTTTGGGATTTTTTAGTCGTACGCATCCAGATGAACATAGACAAGACAGAGGTTATGGAAATAACCAACCAACCATCCAACAACAACAACAACAGCATCAACATCCAGCGCCAATCACCATCATCAATGGGAGGGATTTGAAAGAGGTCACTTCATTCATTCACTTATCTAGGAGCATTGTCTCAACTACACGCAGTCGGAACGGACGAGGATGTCAAATCGAGCGAGAATCGGGAAGGCGAGAAACACATTCATTCATCAATCTGAAACGATCTGGAAATCTTCGTCACTCAGCCAGCGTCAACAACAAAATTCAGTCGGATTTTCAATACAAACAACGTCAAGTCAGTCAGTTCTTCTATACGGATCGGATCAGAAACTTGGCGGGAAGTGGGGGTCACAAAGAATATTTCCAACAGCCTGTTGCAGATCTTTATCAACCAACAACTGTCTTCGCTGGATCTATACTGAAGATCATATGGCCAGGGCGGGCCGGAAAGAATCATCAACAAGAAACTATGGCTGGGAACAAACAAAACAAGAACCAATCGCTCGCCCAACAAATATGCAGGAGAAAGTGGATTGAGATGGATTGGACACTCGCTGTGTAGACCACTGGGTGACATTGCGAGTCAGGCCATTGCTCGAGTGGAACCAGGCCGAAAGGAAGCGGAGAGTGGGGGTCAGTCCAAGGGTGACATGGAGGAGATCGTGTGAAGAGGAGTTGAAACAGTATGGACTAACATGCACGGATGCAGGTGAAAAGTACAGCAGAAGGATGATAGAAGTGGCAAGTGGAGACGTGCAGTTGAAGCCCTATGTTCCACTAGGAACCCAAGGGAGCAATAATAATATAATATAATACGAATTTAGGATCCCAATAGGGATTAAAACCCAGGATCTTCCAGTACGAGGAGAATCTATGAACCCATGACTTCCAACTTCTATCAAGGAGCTAGCTATATGTCACCCGTCAGTATCCTTATTCAATTACTTGGGAGAGTGTTAATTAATTAGCACAACAGAATAAAGTATTCCAATTTATTTGTTTACTCCATGTGTCAGTTATAACTCTGCCTAAATTATTATTGTTGTTTTATTTAGAAAATCACACTACGTTCAGTTGGCCAGCTGATTGAAAATTTAGTCGGTGGTGGTTATCAACATTCTTATTGTATTAAACCTGGAACTACAGATCTACTTCGTTCACCATCTCATGGTAATGGTTGGCTACCGAGTGTTAATGTCCCATTTGGAAATAAAAATAGTATAACAAATAGTGTAAGTTTTTTCCTTATATATTTACTTGATGTTATCATTTCATCTATAAAATATGTATCATTTTGGCTTGGAAAAAGATTAACTGAATCAGTAAACAGGGGTGTGCGTCAGTGGCATAGCGGTAGAATGTTCGCCGACCACGTATAAAATCCAGGGCTTGATTCCTGGCCAACGACCTCCTTTACCTCGCTAAGCCAGTGTAATAAGACCGGTAAAGAGGAAAGGTTGAGCATGAGGCTAACAACCTTATCCCGTAGAAATAAACACCACTGCTGCCGAAACTATAAAGCTGTAGCGTGAAGCCGTATGTTCCACTGGGGACGTAAAGGAATAAGAAGAATAAACAGTGACATCTTATCTAATTTTGCGTTAGCGGGCTCAGTGGTAAAATGCTAGTATTGGTAGTAATCTAGGATCGATTCCCAGCTGACGGACACCCTCCTAAACTTCACCTGGTTCACTAGCCGATAGTAAGTGTGGAGAGGAAAGAAAATTGGATGTGAGGCTAGCACCATCGACTCTACAGATCCTTCAAAGCTCCCATCGATATGTTTCAAAGAATGATAATATAAGGAAGAAAATATTATCTAATTTAGTGGAAAGTAAATACCACTCTAAAATAGAATAAGCATTTATTGTCATATATAAGTTGCTGATCACCCTGCATACCTGAAGCTATAAAAATCAGAAGGGCATATTAAAATTGAATGTCCTTCTTGACTGACATACCATAAGAACAGCATGAGTGTAATCATTCCATATTTTCATGTCTTATTATGTACCTCTACAGCTTAACAATTCTTTCTCTGCCTTTCCTACATCTTTTTCACTTACTAAGCATAACACAACAATTATTCTCAACATTACTGTTTTCAAAAGTGTTGATTAGTGAGAATTCGATTGGTTTCAGGTTAGATCACAAATTGATATCATTTAGGGAATCATTAAAAACCAGGAAGAACTGACAGCTGCTTCGTCCTGGTTTTTAGTAGTAAGTACTCATGAACAGACAAGCAATCGAATTTAGGATCTTCACATTACAAAGCAAGCCACTACGATGGTAACCTATGGTTCATGAATTCAAACTTTATCAATTTATGATCAATACCACCACCGCCAACCAATCTTTTTGGAGAATATACCTTATCAATACCGACCTGTTGGATCCCACAACTTCTTATCAGAACTCCAGGGCAGCTTTTTTCTGAAATCAGTTATTAGTAACTGGCTGAACTATCAATGGACTCACCTAGTAACCTGGAGATCCCAGTTTCGGTCCTCGGCTAGTTTCCAGGGTGAGTACTTATGACGTTACCAAGACTAGGAAGAAACAGCTATCCAGTAATCTTTGGTTTTAAATAGTTCACCAAGTCATATCCACCTTACTACTATTTTCATCCTTCGGATTTGCGCTTAGCCCATTTTATGCCTTCATTAACTGATAATTTTTCACTAATATTGAAACTATTATCATTATAGTTGTAACGGAGTTTTAATATTTTTTTGTTGTTGGTTTTTGTCTATTCTGACCGAAACGCCCCTCGATACAACAACTGATCACTCAAAAGTATTCCACCCACTAAGCAGACACACAGAAGTCAGACTTGAACTCAGACAGCTGCCACAACAACAACTTTATTATTATTGAGAAAATATTCATTCAGACATCTAGAAAAACAAAAAACACTGAGTAAAAAAATCCTTTTAGATAATTTCCTCTTCTAACTCTACAATTATATATACAAATATATGTTTATATACATAGAATATTCTAGAATAGACGTCAGTAACAATATTGGTGTTTTTTAAGTACTATCGATTTTCAAGTATTGGTAATACTTGAAAATTAATCTGTGCTCACTAGTGACTGGCCCTATTCAGGCAGTTAACCTGGGGTTCTAGCGGGAAACCGTGACCAGTAGGGTACAGCAGGTTGAAGATGAGGCAGTAACTCTTCGAAGAAGACATTGCGAAGTGGTCGCGCTATGTCGTGAATTGGCAGAAGTTAGAATTCAAGGACCATTGGATCGCGTCCCAGTGGCTCAATGGTCTACGAGCTCGTTGGCCTTGTAACCAGAAGGTCCTGGGTTCGAATCCCGGTGGGTGCGTACTGCTGAAGAGTCCCAAACTAGGACGGAGGAGACAGCTGTCCAGTACTCCTAGGTTTTCCAGTGGTTCTCTAACTGATGTCAGCTCATGATTAAATCCTCCATACTATCGATTTGTTAAGTAAAATAAATGGAATTACAGTTCAAGAAATACGCTTAAGTTATAATAAGCATCAAAGCAAATAGAATATGAAATGAAATTAAGGAAGTCTCCATAACAAAACGAGGACCATTAAAACCTTGATGGCCAAGCTAAGGGCAGAGTCAGAATCAACTTCTTTTCGATACATAAGTTAGGTTTCTTAATGTGGATCCCAACAGCCAGAGTTAGCAATGTGTAGTAGACGAACTCTTGAGGTAAAGTTATGATAAGTTGGTATACGGCAAATGACTTAGAAAGCTGCCTCGTTAACATCAATCGTGTGTTCTGTATCCATGAGATGAGATCGAATATAAAGAGTTATGAATGGATTTCGTTTGTCCTTTACTTAACCACGCAGGATGATGTTCAGATTGCTTTGATCAGTCACGACTTTAAGCCTAACAGCGATGTGTTGTCCGTCCTAAAAACTGTTATTATTATTATTATTTTATCAGTGTTACTATTTCTCACCCTGTGAAGTTAAATCCATTGTATCCTGTTTGATTGCTTACTTCTTTGTAGCACTCATATTTTCTGTCACACCGCTGATTCCAACTCACTACTTGAAACGTATGATTTTGTTGACTGTTTCATCTTATCTTATGTTTATATGGACCATACACTATGCGTTCACTAAAAATATAATCAAAACTAACTATTTTTTTTAGTAATCTATCTTATGCTCGTACTCGAATACAGCCTTTACTGGATATCGTATGAGAACAATACGATAGACTTCCTGGTTGGAGACAATTGGTGATATGGCTCAAACTCATCGTTCTCAATGGCTAACACAGATGCATCCACTCCTTGTGACTTATGATTTCCAATGAAAGTATATTGTTCTTCGTTACTACTATTCCTTTGTCTCACACCTCTGTTTACTGTCTCTAGTATGCATTTCTTCTACCTTCTTCTCTTTCTTTGTGTGCTACAAGGAGGGAGTGTGGCGACCACACATACACACATCAGCGGGTGCTACTTGCTAGACATGTGTAAGTGATCTAAATGCTAGACAACCACTCCTCTCGTGGTTTGAGGTGTGGTCATCAAAGATTTACCCGGTTTAACTGAGCTCAGAGAGCTGAATCAGTTCAAATCACCTGAATTCTGGCTAGCTGCTTGGGTAAAGTGGTTTATCAGCAGCTCAGTAAACCAGTTAGTTAACTTCATCTTATCTCAACTAAACGAGTGTTCATAAACGCTCCGGTGGTTTAAACTGATTCGAATCTCTGGGCTGAATCAAACCGGTTACATTGGTGATAAGATCAGCATGAATTGACACAACCATCCAGTGTTTTGATCACTTCTGTCTGGCTATCCAAAAAGTAGTACTAGTTTCTGTATGAGTGGTTGTCTAACTACTCGTATCAGTCAGTTAGTCAGTAGTATGCAGCATTGTGTGTTTGTAATTCCTTTGTTGATTGCCATTTATGGCTTCAAGCAGATCACATATTTTGCTCCGAACAATTTTAGTTCCCAAATGTAAACTATTTTCAAAGTTCACCCAGAACGGTGTAAACAGTGTGTCGCGAATTTCATTCTAAGTCTAAAAAAACTCACAATTTGATAACTTTTAATGTTCATGAGAGACTAACATTCTTTGTAATAAAAATGTCCGTATAGCTTCACTTCTTATCGTTTTAAGTGGCAACACGATCACGTGATATAACGATGGAACACTAAAGATCAAATAAATAAATATTACAGGATTTCATCATGACCTGACATCAGTTTGAGAACAATTTAAAAACCTGCCAGGGAGTACTGGACAGCTAGCTGTTTCGTCAGCCTAGTCAGCGGTACACACTCATTACAGGAGATTCGAACCGCCGTCAGGAGGTTCAAACCCGGGACCTTCTGGTTACAAGGTCAGTGAGCTGGTATACCATTAAGCCACTTGGACCCGATCCAATGGCCAGCCCATGAATTCTAACTTCTACCAATTCACGACTTAGAGCCAACCCTAGCCAATGTCTTCGTTGACTGTTTGTCCTCACACCCAACCTGCTGCAACTTACTGGTCCGGACTTCCCACTAGAACTCCAAGTAACTACCTGCCTGAATAGGGCAAGTTACTAGTGTGTATCTCCTCAATATTCAAGTGTTGGTTTGTAGGGATTTGATTGGTTGGTTACAGGATTTCATCATGAACTGACATCGTTTAGAGAAACATAGGAAAAACTAGAAGTACTGGCATGAGGACAAATACTTGCCGAAGACATTGGTTAGTGGTCGGGCTTTATTGTGAATTTGCACAAATTAGAATTCATGGGCTGGCCATTGAATAGGGTCCCAGTGGCTTAATGATATACGAGCTCACTGGCCTTGTAACCAGAAGGTCCCGGGTTTGAACCTCCTGACGGTGGGTGCGTCCTGTTGAAGGGTCCCAAACTAGGCTGACGAAACAGTTGTCCAATACTTCCTCAAGGTTTTTCAATGGTTCTCTAACTGATGTCAGCTCATGATGAAATCCTGTAACTAATCAAATCCCTACAAACTAAATATTATGTTAAATATATTTCTAAGCCTAAGATATAACTGGATTACGATTTAGTAATTCTACCAGTCATGACAATTAGAAGAGTTGAAATTCTCAGAAAAACGGACCCACTAATGAATTAATCTCAGCTCAAGTTGATACACTTAAAAAAGAGAAAAAAAGTTAAATAAATATTAATAAAGACCTTCAGAATTTGAATGGTAACGAATACTGAATATATGTGCGTCAACATGAACTATTTCATATC